ATGAATAGCCAGAGGACAGAAATTAGAGAACGGCGCCTGGCTGGGCAAAGAGGAAGGTGAGAGCCCTAAGACTAGGCCTTGGAGGAAAAGGGCTCTGAGTGAGTTAATTTCAGTGTGGCAAAAGTGAATGTGTGAGATCACAGCAGTCAAGAGCACTTTGGACGAGACCCAGGTGGGAGCTCAAATTGAAGCGGTTTGCAAGACCGTGTTCAAGTTGTCCGTGGACGAATTCAGTGGATGAATCCTCTTGGTAAGCAGTATAGAGCTGTTCGAAAAGGCAGCAGATATCCGATTCACTCGGAGAGTGCCCAACAAGAGCACTAGAATGCAAAGACCGCTTCGACCGCTTCCATTTTTCTCGTCCACGCCTGGTGCTTGTGCTCTCTCATCTTTTGCTTTATCGTCCATCCCCTCCTTCCTTGCTTACAATTTGTTCATATTGCCCATGCACTGCACAAAAAAGAGCAGACCATTAAATTTGACGTTTTAACGGATTTTTCTCTTTTTTTTTTCTTTACAGTCAGCCACTTCGCACCATTGCTCTCTTTTTCTCTGTAAAAACCACAACCAGTTTAGTCCTGATCATTGCCCTTGAATTGAAATCATGCAAACGATTATCAAAACATATCAGACTAATTGAACTTTATCAAAATTTCAACACATCAACATGGAAAAAGTCAAAGGATTAGGTACCACCCAAAATAACTATTACCATTTCTTCGTCTAGCAAGAAACGTACAAGAGCATTCGTGAAACAATCAATAGAGAAACACCTATGACAATGCAGAAAACATAAAGAAATAATTTGAAAGAGCATTTGAAATGAAAGAGATCAATGGATTTCAAAAAAAAAACCTCGTTAGAATATCACCAATTAGTAAACTCGGGAAAAGCTATAACCACAACTATTAAGAGAAAGTTTGAAGTTGTATCAAATAAAGAAAGAACCTAATGACCCACATATACCAGAAAGATAAACACCCGCTTTCATCGAAACCAGTTCTACCTTACAATTAGCATGTTAAAGAATATTTACAGGACATCGTAATGCGATAAGTAGTAGTGGGGTAAAAGCTGCAATACAGGACTCTTTGTATCATCCGCCCGCATTACGCTCCGATATACCCTTTGAACGTATGATATTAATGACCAGTTTAGCTCCGCCCGCTACCGCGCGCATGACACGGAAGCCTCTGATAGAACTGACAATCGGTGAAGCTTTGGGTTTCACCGCTTAACTATAGCTGCTTCGTTAAATGCATTACTGTCCGTTGCCCATCTTGGCTGTATCTCACTGTTTGATAAGCGCAGTGAAGTGCACAGCTAAAGTGATGATGTAAACAACCACTATGCGTCGAGTATCGAGGTAATTTAGCGGTCGAATATCTCAAAACGGAATGCCCAGTATTCATTATCATATTTATTCGAGCATCCCATTCATCCTCAAGAACTCTAGAAGGTGTAGCGGTTGAAAGGTGTTTGAATTTACAATTATAACGCTAATGAAATGATATTGAAATGAAATGCATTATCTGCAATCTGGTTTCGAGTAATCTCTACGTTCGTACGCATATCGTAATTATCAGTCCTCATCTGTCGTTATCACTTTTTGACCCCCACAAAATATGTTACCGTCCAGCCCCTATATCATGTCCCAAAATAAGTTCCTGACGACTGCTGCGAAGCGCGCTATGAATTTTGTGAAAATTGTGTTTCAGCGCCTCTCAATTGCTCATATCAGTCGTTATCACTTTGTGACCCCCACCAAATATGTTCCCGTCCCACCCCCTATATCATATCTTGAAACCAACTCCTGACGACCACTGGTGCCCGAGCTATGAATTTCGCGACACTTGCGTTCTAGCGCCTTTTATCAGCCCTTATCAGTTGTGATCACTTTCTTTACCCCACCAAATATGTTCCCGTCCCACCCCCTATATCATATCTTGAAACCAACTCCTGACGACCACTGGTGCCCGAGCTATGAATTTCCGGTCAGACAGACAAACACATACACACACACAGACACACACACAACCGCTTAGCCGATTATATATAGTAGGATACCTAATCACAAAGATAAAATTAATGCTCCGGTTAATAAAAGAAAGCAAAAATCTGAGACGAGGTGGTCAGAGAAATCAGATCCCTAACATGCCAATGTCCACCTTGCCATATCTGTTTCGCAAGTCCTTGATCACTTCACTGCTTATCTTTCGAGCTAGGCTGCAAATAAACAATTAATCAGCTAGAAGAAAAGCTCAGAATGAAATGAAAAAGCATGCATGTTCTTAAACCGTTTTACTAAACCTGCCAAACGTGTGTGGTGTAAGTATAGAAAGCTACGCATGATATGACAAATCTGTCCGGCCACTTAACATCTACAGAGCGCGATTCAGCCTCGTTTAAGGGTTGTGTCAGGAGATCCGGACTATGGCGAAATATTAGAGAATTGGTTTTGTGGGTTGTAAAAACGAAAGCGAAAAAGAGAAAAAGGAATCGGGAGCCTTCCATACAGTGTATTTTCTTCCGGCATCCAAACGCTGACGAATTCTTATGTGACTGAATACGGCACCTCACCATGATGAGGCCGGGTGCAGCAAGCCCGGCAGTGGACGGTTCCCCAAACCTCTACTTCGGTTGATGACGTAGTATTCAATGGTCAAGAATAAGGATTAAGCAGAATTCTAGGGACCCATCCTCAGCAGGCTCTATGCACCCAACCCCAGGAGTCGTGACCCTTACAATGCCACTTTTGCAATTCAGATCTCCTGACCCTTAACTTCAGGGTTTACGCGTCGTAATAGCACATCGTCTTGAACATTGCAAATTGATCCTCGTGCTCATCACATTTCGGCAGTAGCACTACGAGGCGCCCAGCACCAAAAAAAGTTAAGAAACAAGAAAGTAGTCAATTTATAGTTATTTCGTTGTACTCACCGAATAGCCGCCTCATCTTGCTCCATTTCAAAAGTGTTTTCGGATTTACTAGGCATAAGCCTACTTTTCACAGGTGCGCTTGATATTCGTTCTGTAATAGCAAAAGTCTGTCGAAAAATAAAATCGGAGATTTGCAATTTACGTGGTTCATTGAAGGAAGATCAAGTAACATAAGCCGAAGTCGATATATTGTTGACTAGGAAAAAGAGACGGCTGTTTAGAGGAAAACGTGGGCGGTGTTGGGCGTGTCGATTGCCGCATGGTCTCGGAATCAAATACTATGGAAACATCGTGATGATGATCGTGGTAGGGAGGAGGGGTGTTGTAATGGAGGAGTCTCCCACGGAAGATGGTAGTGGTGGTGGGCCGCATGGAGACCCCCAGCAAAAGGGCGAGGTAAAATTTTTGGAAAAGTATGAACATAACAGTCGACTCGGATCCTAGATTCGATCCCCGTCAATGTGTGAGGTAGGCCGCGTCACGAGCCTCTACACCATTTCCCACTTTCAAAAAATAGCCCCTTTTGTTTTCGTAATGGCCGAACATCGAATAATTCGCTAGTGTAGATATCACATTTTATGCTCCCATATCACATTTTCTGCTTTCTCTGCTGCTCATAAAATTCCATGAAACAAAATGCTGTGCATATCTGCTTAAAAACTTGTTCAGGCCTTGGAGGCTAGTGCCCACGAGTGTCTCCTCAATCCTAGTCAAGCCACGTAGCCTCAAGCAACAATGCTTACCTTTAGTGGCTGTCTGTTGAGTAGCTGATAACGTTGTGCCACGTTTGGCCGGAGAAGGAGCAGAAGTCGAAATTGTTGGCCGTACTGAGGGAACGCTACGAGTACGAGTTAGCTTTTGACGCTTCTGAAGTACTTCCGATGAAACGCTTCAAAGGGGGAACAAAGCGTATGCTAACGAAGTTTAGTACTTTTAATAAATCAGGAGGCAGTAAGTATCCAGGACTTCGCTGCTGGATTTGAACCAACGGCCTTCTCAAGCGTGTAGGCTGCGGACTGAAAAATTGCTGACGGGTAGGTTTCGCCGCGTTGCGCCGTGCACACTGCGCTTCAAAAGCTGCCTGAATATACAAGCATACAAAAGAAGTTTCCAAGGTTGTAAAATTACTGCCTGACCTTTGACAGCTTCTCCACGACTATTTCATTAAAATCATCAACAGCACGTCGCAGTTCAGAGATGATTGTTTTCTGAAAAATAACTAATTATGCTAATTTTGAGAAAGAAAAACAGGTTGTGTTGCACGCATCTCTTAAATTCGCAAGCCCCGCACGGTGCAGAGCACTACCGAGAGTTCTAAATCATCACGGCTCCCCCACTTTCTTCACGATTTGGGGGGCGGCCGCGGCCAGCGCGGCGAGTTGATAGTGCCCGCGAACTGTGCTGATGGAGTGTTTTCAAACCTACCCGCACAGTTCGCGGGTACTACCAACTCGTCCGCCCTCGCCGCGGCCGCACCACAAATCGTGAAGAAAGTGGGGGAGCCAATCATCACAAGAAGGCGGACCAAGCAGTCACACAGCCTTCATGCAGTGCTTGAGAATAGACATATAACAAAAAAGCAGCTAATTCGACAAGCCATGGTCTTGTCAAGACACTGAAGACCCTGCTGTCATGGTCTGAGCGCATTAGGATTGAACATTATCCGGCGATAAAAAACGATATTTGAAGAGCACTTCCAAAACCAATTGGACATCAGTGAATAATTCTTTTGCATGTTGTTTGCAATGTAAAATGAAGTAGAATAAATGCGTTGGACATTGATAAAAGCATTGAAAACTCACTTCACTAGAAAGAACAGTGTTCGCGGCACAGTCGCAGAAAGTGTACAGCATATCACACAACGATGTAGCGAACGCTGATGTGTTCGATATTTGGAATGCTCTACAATGCATATTTTGGTAGAGATTGTATAAAGAATGAACACATCGATATATCGAATTTCCTCTAGAAGAAACTCTGAACTATCCAACAGAACGACTAAAATTGATACCATAATTTAGCAAGCTTCGGTTCAAAAGAAGCAATGGTGGAAATCAGCGTGTGTTTTTTTTTCATTGGGTGATGAACACAAACAATAGACGAAAATACCAATTGTAATCATAATAGAAACAAAATGAAAATAGCAATGATTTGGGGGAAGAGAAAGGAACTTACGAAGATATTCGGGTAGTAAACAACCGTACCAACTGCAATAATCGTCTCGCCGCCGTTCCAAGCCTGAGCCGGAAATTGAGGAATTTTTTCAAAGAGCAGGCAGACTACTGTATGTGGTTCACTAGTACACAAAGCGCGTCTTTTTCGCGATTTGTTGCGCGAAACAACTTTCCCTGCAGGGAAAAGGGTCCCTAGTTCTCTCTGTCCTAGTGAACCACATCCCGGACTACTTACCGATTCCTATCTACTTTCTTCGAAGAAATTCGGTCCACTTGAAGTCGCGCGGCAAACAGTAAGGAAGCATCGCGATTATGCTCAGGTTCACAATGGCAAATGGTGAAGTCTGCTGTAAAACAAAAATACTGAAGCCCGCTCTGCAGATCTCAAAAGGCTTCTATTCACATAATAGCGTCTGAGCACAACTTCATCTCCACCACTGCTTTCACGTGATATATTCAGCCATTCTAGAGAATCTCTTAGTATTGTGCTGTCCCGGAACCACAAATATCGCGGAAGTTTCCAAAGGAATTCTTTTAAATTTTTGGCTCGTTTTTTGGAGTATTTGACTTTTGTGAACTTTTGGAATTCTTTTGGAATAAAACTTTTGGAGCTTCTCTGTGTTAAACAAATTTACATCCTAGAGAATATGATCTCACTTCTCTTGAGAAGCCCTAGGCGAAGATAATGTCAACCTCTCAACCGAGCTCCTTACAACATTCGATGAAATCCTCTAGAAAAAATATTAACCTGTTGAAAGAAACGTTTGCGATGATGCATCTACCGCATGTACAAGTTCTTCGAAGGTCGGCAACACCGTCTCTTCATGTTTTGTAATATCCATCAGCGGAGCAGTTACAACGAAGGAGTCGACCTAAACTACTACTTGCTTGATTTGCAGTCACCAATCGACGTGAGACAAACACAACTAGACTCAAAGCATGTTCCGGTTCGATTTTCTGGCATGATACGCACCAAAAATTGGCCAAACTTGGCATGTCATGTCACCTTGGTTGACAGTATTGATTTCTCTTTTACCGCAAGTTTCACTTATGATATGGGTCCTCCTCCCTTTGTATATAGACTTCAAACATGCTGTGCTACATGAATTGTGAACCTGCAAGGCTTTCAAAAGTCTTTCAGGATCTGTTGAATGTCCTTCTCACATCACAGGATGCAATGCAGGAGCTGAGAAAGTAGCAGTTAACAATAAGAATTCCATGAATAATGCGCAATAAGGGATTCGTAACTGTGGTGAATTGATAACAACCCTTGAGCTGCTACATGATGCATCCTCTCTGCAACTCTGCCCGTTCTCTAAGGTGCTATGGCCACGCTTAGGGTCACCCAATGGCCACGTCCGACGATGGATGCATTTTTAAAGCTATGTGATCGTCACGAACAGACGACCGACTATGAAAGGGCTCTTCGAGAGAGAGAGAGAAAGCCGAAAAGGGAAAGCAACCGCTGACAAGCCTCCACAATAAAGAACAGAAACAACGCTGATAATCGCTACTACCTATAATGTGAGGTGTTGGGCCTACCAGAAAGGATCCCGAGGACGCAAGTGATGTGATTAGAGCTGATAGCAATTAGTAAGCGCTGATAGGGAGCATGAGGGCGTAAGTGTTACGAAATCGTCGCTCCAGTTGATAAAGAAAAATTTGCAATCATATCTTATGCGTTATGTGCGATCATACGGCAAAATGAACAGGTGGTGGGTGACAGGAAGTGATACCAAGCGATAGAAGCTGATAATAGGCGTTAGATGTGTCACTAATGCAGTTACTTCTTCGAGTAGGACTGTAGGATGTGACTGTAGGAGTGCTTGCATGTTATGAAGTGGAGTAATGTGATAAAAGCATCATGTGATAAAAACAGATAAGGACCTAGAAAGAGATGAGGAAACAATTCTGACTATCGTTTCGCTCTTTGCAGTAATGGTGACAAGACATGATAAAGATCATAGGATGAGACACTGGTGATTCGTGACGATGATGATATCTACCGATCAGGACTGATGATAGTCAAAAGTATTTGATCATGACGGCACTCGCTGCTATGTTTTGACCACTACTGCTCAACTCATAAGTTCAGCAGTACAACAAAAGCAGGATTGAAAAGAAAATAGACACAATTTCAGAGACAACTTCAATTGGGCCTACAGGAATCTCCTAATTTGCATTTATCGACATCTCTGCTTTTCAAAATTTAGTCCTGGAGAATCATCTCTTTATCTCGCCTGCTGCCTAGCTGGTTCACTTAATTAATGTTTTGTGTTCCCTAGTTTTACTGATGCTTAAGATGTGAATTAATGTAGCGCACCTAAGCGTGCAATAAATAAATAAATCAATAAATAAGTAAGATCTACGAATGTGCAGCAAATAGAGAGAAGGTTTCACCAACCTCTTTCTTCTGTGAACGTGCAACTTCTTGTTCTACAGATAATGACCATCTTTCAGTGAACTCTCTCCGATCAAGCATTAATGTAAGAAACTCATCGGTGATCTGATCCAAATCGGCCTCAGACCAAACGACCATCTGCAATAAAATCCTATGTAGTGAAAAAATGAAATAGACCCCTTCGACAATCGATAACAGTTGTCGCGATAAATATGGGTGTCTTGTGAAACATTATGGTGAACCACACGTAATGAACAAAATTGTTTCATTAAGAAGACATCAAAATATAGAAACAGGTTTACTATTCTACAATTTTGAAACGGGTTAAGAAGACGACTTTGAAGAAATCTATAACAATCTCGCAGAGCAGAATAAACAGCGAATAAAAATAAAAATCTGGTACCACACCATTTGTCAAAATGAACTACAACCAAATGAAATAAACAATGACGGTCGTCCTCAACAAAAACAAAAAAAACTTTAATTATCACGTTACAAACCTAAAAACTATGGAACTTGAAAGCATAATTATAGAGCAGGTAATATGTTCTAATTTGTACAAATAAAAACTCTAGAATACTATTGCTTTGACGTGATAGTTGGTGGAAGGGGTTGCATTTCCACGTAACCTACGCGCATACCAACACCTTCCGGGATATTTCTTTCGATATATTCTAGAAATGTGCTTGCTGTACTCCCTGTGAGATTCAAAACCTGAAAGTAAAAAAGCAAATCGTACGTTCCGTAGAGGATATCAAAATGGCCACTTACTTCAAACTTAGTTATATGAGTGCGAGTCTCGTAGTGCAGCTTGTACTTTTTATGAACGAATTTCGATCGCAATGCGGGCTGAACCCATCGCACGTATGGCAACACTTCAAAACGACCTCGAGTCAAATTCAGGTGAGAGCAAACACTCTGAAAACGCACAACATCCGATATGAATGTTGATCGCAATAATTCCAAATATTTGCAATCTTCTATCTTCATAAAAATGCGGTCATAATTTGCGACTGTCTGGCAGTTTGAGGCCGGTGTGAGAGTTTGCGGATATACGAATTGCGAATACGCGAGCGAATGGGCGTCCCACTGGGAATCAGAGGAGTACGAACGATGCTCCTGCTGTTCGAACGATGCGCTGGCAAATGTAGTCGCTAGGTTGCTGACATCACTCGTTCGTTTCGAATTGGTGTCGAAACTCTCATCGTTATCGGAACCGCGGATTCGCCAGGAAATCCAAAATCGCAAAGTATGACACCGGCTTAAGGAGAAGTAGTCGCGTAACTATCGTGCGACCTTGCCATCGCGCGATTGATCGCACGATCGATACATATTTACTCCACTTCGGACTGCAAGAAGTACAAGGCAGTTGCAAAATACGACCGCACCTTAGTAACAAACTTATGCGTTTTGCCTAATGGTAAGCTTTAAAAAAGATTAGAGAAATATCTAACATTTTGCAAATCGCTCACCTCTAAAAACTTGGTGTATGACTTCAGTACCTCCGGATCATGGCCCCGGTATTCCAATTCGATTGAGCTATAATTTAATTCAATAACTCTATCTTACTTTTATTAGCGTCTTCACAAATAATTCGCACAAAGAAATACTTTAGACAAATAATAAAGGCAAAAAGGTAAGGTATGAGTTACTGTGAGACTAATAGTAACACTTCGAATTTCTCGTATTAAGTTGCACTGACTGGTTGGAATAATTATAACACAGCATATGTAAATTATACCTGAACAGCTTATCGGGCATCTGTGCCTCTGATGGCGTAGTTAATCCCTTGGAAACCGATGGCGCTGAAGCGGTTCTTACCTGACAACAAAGCAATTGCTCACAAGATTACAAGGAAATGAACGAAGCTTAATATGAAATTGCAAAAGATCGATCCGGATACTCCAGTAAAATGTAGTATTTACTGAACATTAGCCTAGTTCCTATACTCGACTCTCAATTGAGTCCCTAATTCACTACAATGATCCCCTCCCCAGTCTTACAAATTTTGTTCTGTTATTGATGCTGGTAAAATAGAGATCATTTGGACTAACCGCACGTGTTCCATTTACTGATAAACTTTGAACGGCATTGCGCACATAGCCGTAAATTGATGGAAACATCTGAAACACAATTACTGGAGACAAAAAAAGCTGCTTCGCGGTGAAGCGAGTTGAGTACTTATTGTTATGAAAACGAAAAAAGGTGTAGAGGCTTTCAAGATTTTTGTTAGGAAATATTGGATACGCGCTGAGTAGAATGTGTTTACTGTCAAGTTCCTCCTTCAAACGAACAATTTGTAAAGGCAGTTATCGCGCTCTGTAGTGAATAACTTAACCGAATTAGAATTAGGGCGCATCAGCTGAAAGTTCTTTCTAACTATGAGCCTTTTTCAACTGCGAATAAAACTGGGTGCAACCCCCAATTCAGACTTCCGAGTTCCCTTTGGCACGTATTTCTGCTCTTCTCATTCCACTAGCCGCATACTACAAGATCACCCAGTTCTCAAGTGGATGTATTTTGCACTTTCGCCGTTTTGAATATCCCGCTTTCGACTTCAATGTGAACAAATTTTGGGTCCATTTCAACAAGGAAATCAGGAGGGTTTGTGGCGCGATACCTCGTGAAGCGAAGGGGAATCCCAATTCTTTTTGCAGGAGGAAATCCTCTAATATATGAACTACGCATATCGCTTCCAGTCCTACCCTTACCTCCGAAACTTCTTCCCTGCATTGGAATTACTGTACAACCGTTGCACCATACCCCCTCCCGTCCCGCACCCATTAGAGTAAACTCCAAATTGGTCAAGAGGTATCTTCAATTTTGATTGTCCCTTGGTCTTTTTTCAGACTGCTACTTGAATGCTTCATTTCTTGTAGGCTTCGCACTAACTCTATTTCTACAAATGTTTCCCCCGTTATCCTCCGCCTCCTGATAGACTTTCAGATTCTTCTTTCTTCGGTACCGAAGTGAAGATCGTTATCGGCTGGTCATTGACCTATGGACAGAGAAGCGAAGCGACTCTGCGAAGTGCCTCGATAAAGACGCGTGATAAGAGTCCTTACAGGCGATCATTTTTTCTAACTTCCTTCGGACGGCGGTCGATGAATGTTCTTCGTTGTCTCTTCGCTGATTTGACGCAACTCTGCAGACACTACGCAAGTTCGCCTTTACACAAAACCGGTTTTCGATACATTCTCGAAATCACTTAAAAACTGGCAACATTTTTGAAATGAAGCACTGGTGTCGCTCCTTCGGATATTTCTATGGCATGAATCAAGGCATGGGCGCAATGCTAGTTGGGTAGGCACGCCAATTTTTCGAATACAGTAAGTGTGAAGTGGTAACTGGTGCCCCTGCTCTCGAGAACCGATAAGCTAGGCCTTGAAGGGGAGAGAAGAGAACTCCTTACCTCTTCTCAGAGTTTAATATCGATCGATAGAAGATGTGAATTTGAATGATCCAGCAAGAAATACCATCAAATGTAGAAAAAGCATTAAAAGAAAAGTGATTATTGACTCCTGTAGCGTCTCGTGACGTCATAGCAGTGGGCACCGGTGCCTACGTACATTTCGCGCCTACAACAACCGAAAAATCGGCGTGCCCACCCGACAAGCATTGCACCGACAATGTAAACACCAGAAGAATTTAATAACCACATTGAGCGCAGAATTCTAAGTGGGTTCACGGCGCCATCGTGAGATGGGAGCATTGTGGCGACAACACATTTTGAACCTCGTCAAATATTTATTTTTTGTTATACGTGGAATAAGACTCAGGGTGGTAGGAGAGCCTCCAGCGTGGGTGAGCAATCTTCATTCCCTCGAAGTCTTGCTTTCTGTTACGCTTAGTCCTCGAGGATGTCCCCGCATTTTGCGATAGCGCCGCTTCACGAGTACAACGCAAAAAGCGAAGTTACGACATAAACTGCACGAATGCGATCCAGTAAGACGCACCACGCGAAGCAATGCATTTGTGGACTTATGGACTGCGCTATTTAGCCAATTGGAAGTGTGTTTTGAGAAACTCAAATTATTAATGTATGCAGTAATGAGAGATTCCAAATAAAAAAAAATGCCCCAGCTATTTCTAGCAACATAGAACAGAACAAAATAAGGTCTCAAGAAGCGGATAAAAAACGAATAAAAATAATACAATAATGTAACAATTAATAAAAGGACTGGAAGAGGTGTAATGGGCAGTGGCCCACTGGGACCACGGGCGAGTCGGTCAGCGGGGGAGTCGAACGGGGGTCGTTGCTTGTGTCCGGGCCAACCAAGCCTTCCATCCCTCCAGACGTCGTCAATTGGTACCAGACTTGTCTGGAGGATAAAAAAACACTGACTTGTACATCGGCTGGCCCCGCAAGTCATTGTATAGGCCACATCGCATTCAAACGCCACTACGAATGTGCAAATGGAAGTAGAGCGCCTGCCGCATCCCAAAAAGGGATCAGTCATCGACGAAATTGCTTTATCCTTTTTATCCTTTATCAAGCTGAATCGGAGCGCTAAGGGTTTAAAGATCTCTTCTGATTGAAATTATCTTCTATTAGGTTCGATCATACGGTATTATTACTACCTTGTTCACGTATATCTGCTGGCCTCACCTTTTTTTACTCGTTCACCGCTTGTGCGTCAGTATTCGTCACGTTCACAGCACGATTGGATAAAATATTGGTCACATTTTACGACAGTGAGGTTGCATGAAAACTCATCGGTATATATACGCGCCCTCGCATCAAACCGACAAAACACGGCCCATATGAGACCGGTGGGGGGTAACAATTTCGCGACGGACTGTGGTCCGGGAAGCCGCAATCGGTTGCGAATGGCCTTGCATTTCTTTTGCCTTAGCTAAGAAGAGAGATCTTCTCGCCTATGCTTTTTGAAACACTACGCAATGAAACGAGCATGTGGAGAACTTGTGTTAAAATTAACCCTCATGAATTGGAACCAATTACCACGCTCCTTCTCGACGGGAATGCTATAAACTCAAAGGCAGTGACACGATGGCTGGAAAGTAGAGGCATGTCCAGCTTCGCCATTTTGGTAATTGGTTTACGAACGATGCGCCACCGAGTGTTTTTAAATCCTATTTCCCAAAGAAGCTGATGAGCGTTCATGCTCCTCGGGGGCACTCACCTGCACCTTTGGGACACCGGACACTAAGTAGCTCCTTTGTGAGTGAGAACAAATTGGTTTCTTGAGGACACCGTGCATTAGCTGACTCTTCGAGGAGACCGACCATAAACGTCTCTTCGGGGCAAACTTCACCACCTGCTTCTGGGGACGCCAGAGACAGTGGTGATCTGACTGACGCTCAAGACAACGAAACCGTCCCGAGGCAGCTGCAATAAGCGCTTGGTGCGCTGTCTTCTACTAGCACGAGCTGGGTCCAGAATTCAGCCGATGGTTCAAGTGTTTCTATGATTCATAAAGTTTCTATGTCTCCATCGACTCTTTCAAAATAGCGGACCCTAAGAATCCCTAGAATCGCTGGCGCAGCGTTCATACTCCGCCTCCTAGCCATACACTGTGCACTGCCCTTCAGTTGCTCTGCGTATTTTAGCACAGAAAATCAACATTCACCCACTGTGGAGCGCCAGCTCCAAAGCAAGGGCTGGAGTTGGAGTACAGTAGTGTTTGGAAACAGTATACTTTCTTCAGGATTCTAGAAATCTTTATTATATAGTTCCAAAAAGAATAATTACGAGACAGAATACATTCGTTAATATTTGTGACCACTTAAACAAGTAATGTTTTCCTTTTATAGATATGTCTCCTAGTCTTCCGATACGTGTATTTGTGTACGGTACTCTGAAGAGAGGCGAACCGAACTCTGATGTTCTTACAAACACCGAAGGACAGTATCGACTCGTTGGAGAGGGGGCGACCTTTCCGGTTGGAGAGGGACGGACTAAAGTACCATACCCACTCATTGTAGCCTCCAAATACAATATACCATTCGTGCTGAATGAGCCCGGCAAAGGATACGTGAGTGGTTTCTGTAAAGCAATTTAGCGCTTTACTAAACGTGAGGGCGGAAGTGGGCTGATGGAAGTGGCGGCGCTACAAGGCGGCTGGCGATCGGAAATCTTGATTCTAGTTTCACCCGAGCCAACTAATTCTTCCATCTCTCTGAGGTCCGGCTAATGGTATCAGACCTGTCTGGGAAAATAAAAATACTGACTCGTAAACCGGCTGGCAGTAGAATGTGTAGAAAATTCGGAAGAAAGGATTCAACAACTGCGAAGGCTACAAATTATGCGTTACTTAAATACATCAAATTGGGCACTGCTGAATATTACGAGGGGGAGGGATTGGCAAAAAACACTTCCGCCTTCCACAAAAAACTGAATCAATCAAAACTTAACTAGTGAATGGTAACATGGTTTCCGAAAGATAATTGGAGGGTTCATCGGAGTTCATTGACCCTTTGGCGACCGAGTAATCCGTCGATGGGCCACTTTTTCACTCGAAGGCTTCATTGTTCGTGGTTTACTTGATACTTCTTATGTTTTAAAATCGCTCGTATACCTGTTGGATACGCAAACGGTGTGCTCGTAATTAACAATGAGATTGTTGGATAGTCAATGACTATTGTTAGATATTTTTGAAAATGAACGAGTGACGCACGCATAACGGTGATCATTAAAGGTTTAAACAACTTCACAATGACCTTTTACGCAGGCGGACGTCAAAGGAGTTCGCAAGGAACATGGGGATTTTTTGGCACTTCCAGCTTGCTTAAGCTAGAAGTTGAGGTTGCCGTAAGGGATCATGCCAGGCGAGCAGCATACGTTCAGAAGGACTTGTTACAAAGATTGTGTGTATAACGTTTGTATGTGTGTGTGTGGAAAATCCTCAATAAGTTATTTTTTAGCAAATCCAAGGAGAAGTTTATGAGGTTGACGATGTGAAGCTAAAGGTACTGGATGCACTGGAAGCCTATCCCACACTGTATTGGCGGCAGGAAGAAAAGGTCAGTAACATGATAACTTTGGTCACTTACGGATATTACCTCGAATATGCATTATATGTTAATTCGGCCTCTTTCTTGCATGAGCGTTTGCATGCCAAAACTATCCTTTTTGCCAATTCAAATGTAAGGAAGTCGAATATGTTTTCATATTCATGTGAACTATCGTATAAGTTATCGTACAAAGGATGCTGTATTGGACCGAAGCAATGGAGGTATGTAGACCAATTGGGAAGCAGGCTAAGTCGGAAGGGCTACTCTCAGCAGATAGCAGCTGAAGCCGAAAATGCGGAACTTCCACCATATGTGAGCAATCTCCATGGTGACCAATGTGCTTCTGTGCAAACTGTACTATGTAACTGACACCTCAGAAATTTCTTAGAGAGGAAGTTGTAGGGATGGGAAAAATTTGACTCATCCTCTTAAACGGTCTTCAGTGCTTCTGAGCGAGGTTTGCATTCAGATTCTGATGTCAGACAACACTGAGACGACAGCATGGATTTATCTGATGAGGAAATGGCGACCGGATATATACGAGCACTCAACGCCGATGATGTCGAACTACTCAAGTAAAGGCAGTCATGGCAGGGAATATGTGACGAGGTATTTAGGATTTATCCAAAAGTTACTCTCAGATAATAGGATTCCTAGCAGTTCCATTCAGCCCGACTGAAAATCACTACAGAAACTCTGCCCGCGCTGCATAGGGAGCCTTTCCGAACTTCAAAATTCTACTCTTTACCTTTTACTGCTCCCTCCTCCACTATCGCAAATTACCATGGGGTCACTCTAAAATTTGTCCTTATCTAGATTGGCTTAAGAATTGTCGCGCATGTAGCGTTACATACAGAACACGAATACCATAAACATTTGGCGCAAAAGCCTTTACAACAAGCGCACATGCAGAAAAGTGTCAGAACCCCTTATTATTGTTGGATCACTAAATTCGCTACTTTAAAGGTAACCTGATTTGCTGAAAACGAATATCACTCTCAGCCAACGCTAAGGTTGTTAGCTACCGCCTTTAGCGGCCCAGCCAAGGATACTTTACCAAATGGTGGATATGATTTTCGTGTTTAACGAGGCTTGTCGGCGAAAGCGAATTTCTCGCTAAGGTTACCCCAGAAGACCATTTCGAGAAAACCTTAATTAGATCGTGGGAAAGTGGGGCAGTCAGTGGTGAACAGTGCAATTTTGCGGCAACAAAAAATATTTCATGTAAAATTTAGTGTGAAGGCGTGTTAGACGAAAATGAAAGGGGGTTATCTATGAAGTGACAACTTCTGATAGCTCACCTGGGGGGTATTGCACGAAAAGATATACCAGTCCTTATATAGAGCTAGCTGTAGTGGCTTCTGCGGTCGTTACGAAATTGACGGTCTGCCTTCCTTACTGAAGACCAGTGGCGTGGCGGTTTCCTGATTGTTCTGAGAATATGATCAGTATCACTAGTCCTTATAGTTGCACTTTAGTATTCCCCTCTTTGGAACCGTCCACTATACATGGCGCTTCCGCGCTTAAGTAACCTGTCAGCATGTGTGCAAACTACATAAATTATATGTACACGCGTCAAATCAATACGCTGTTTAAGATGGCGCGGTGTGACAGTGTCGCTCATGGGCTTTTCTCGCTTGATAGTAGGGTCGTAGAGGGATTCTCCGATTGGCTTGGACTCTTTCTTGACCTGAGCGAAGGCCTATAACATGGAGAAGGGTTACAATGACGCTACCATCGATGAGCGTTAAAAGTGCCTTAAAAGCACAGACTTTAACCCACTACTGGCGCGTGCTATTCAATATTTGTATGCCACATGGAAAATAACTCGAAGAGCACACTTTTTCTATGCAGGTATGGTCGTGCAAAAGAAAGCTAGACGACGATTACAATCTCCACGCTGACATCCAGGGTGGTGATCCGGCCGATCCACTTACTAAGGCGGCTTCACGAGCAAAAGCTATTGATGATACAAAATTTCCGTCTTAGTGCTAATTATATTCTCTGACTTTGTGCTCATTACAGCGAAAACTGCCAGAACAACGATGATCTGTGGCAATAGGCGCCCATTGGGCGCAAAAAAAAAAGAACGGTGCAATCACTGGCGCCATCATTTGCCTCGACATGCGTTGTTGTGAAGCAGATGGTTTGAAACATAATCCAGCTGACATGCATGTGAAGACCTCAACATTTCGGACTTACAACCACACTATAAACACTTTTGAATCTCCATCACCATATTCATTTGGAACTTCTGCTGCAACAATTCATCATCGCCAGAAAATAGGCAGCGAGCATAGATTCAACACATCTATACACAGTATTCATACTGTCAAGGAAGAACAAAATTGATGCGAAAACAATTGAACAAACATATATCCACATAAACCTCTGAAACTAACTTCAATGATGAACAAAGATGACAGGGAAACAACGCGCGACAGACCAAAAAGAGGGCTAGCCAACATTAACCCTAACACATCTAGACGAATCAATCAAACGATACCAATAAAATAGCAAGACACACAAGATTCATGTTATGAAACACGACATGCATACCATACTCACTTGACATTCGATTGCCAACCGGCACATTTCGAAGACATTCAGCTTCGACTCTAATTTGTGATAAACTAATGCAATGCACGCAAGAAATAGATTATATGAACCACGAGCGAAACAAATAAGAGGAAGAAATGAAACCAAAAGAAACAGTAAATGAAAGCTTGATCACAACAAGCTGGTAACTTAGCTTTTGCTTAACTGCATGCCATCACTGAATGGCGCCATAGAGCATGCCGAGCGCGCAAACAAACAGCTTAGTTTCTGTTCCTTAATGATGGTGGCACATATTTTCCGGGCTTAGGTGCTTCCGGTTCTTTTTCGCGGATCACTGGCGCAGGAGTTGGATTCTGAGCACTGTTGAGCGACGACGGCTACAAAAAAAACATATGAAGCAAATGGAAATGCTTTAAAGCAACAGTTCAGGAACGGTTTCGCGGGAAAAAACCACCAATAATGAAGTTGTAGATGAAAACCAGACGATTAATGTATGAAAAACTGGAAAAAAACGTCGGGGAGGGTCTTAGACAGGTACTCTCCCTCTGCCGCTCAGCAATGGATAAAGACGCACGTTGGACGAGTTGTCTGAACGTGCCCGCTGTAAACGCGCTCCATTTTTCAATCAATTTTCCCTGTGGTCCCAAAACGAGCACGATTGCCGACGCGTCCAATGACGGCCGGCAAGGGGGCGGGATTGGGGAAATCCCCAAGAACACCCATGTTTGAGGGACTTTCCACCCTGTTTTTGAGTTTCTGAGGTAAGTTCGTTTATTATTTCCACTGCATATGTTCTTCACTAGGGCTCGTGTATCCCTCAGTAGTAGTGGCATTGAAATTTTCGGACCCTCCCTGAACTGTTGCTTTAAGAAAAATGAATTGTCCGAAGTGTGACCTACCTTGATAGCGTTCTCTCTTTCACGAGACGCATTTGGCGGAGGACCTGACGACATAGTCCACCGATTCACATTAGATAGCGGGCGATTTTCTGAGCTAGCGCTACTGCCACTTTTCACCCTGAATTAATTTGCATGTTATGTCATATAGTCATCCACAAAAACCATTTCGTGAATCCTGATCAGATATCACCTACCATCCTCCAGATCCTTTCGCCTCTTCTTTCTTGTCCTTTTCAATTTTGCTAGCATCAGCAAGTGATGGGAACATTTCGCTATTCGATATATCCACCTTCTGAGTATTGGTACGCATCTGAAGAAATCTCGTTGAAAACGCATATCTGCGTACATCCTTAGGCTTACATTGAAAATAAATTGAAATGTTGCTGCCGGAAAGTTTGAAAAACTTGCGTCAATCGTTTGATGGATTCGGAGACTACGTAGCAGCTCTACATGCCTTAGATAGCCTCTTTTCCACATCGACCCGCCGGCAATTGAATTATTAATTTTTGAGGGTGAGATTGAACCGAATTCTAATATGACCCCATTTGCAATGGGCAAGTGATGGCTTTGCATGACACCCTTTAATTCCCATAGCAACGAGAGGAAAGGAAGCTACCAATCTAAATCTAAGATGAACAATAACTTACCCCTCCCATGCTCCTCTGAGCAGGAATCACATAGGTGGACTTGGTCTTGAATGTCGCAAAATTATCATCATTCTGATGATCATCATCCTCGTCCTTTTTCTGAAAGTTGTGAGTGGATCAAGGTGCAACTAGAGCTCCTATCTATGGCCTTTTGTTAATCTGCAGAATTCAAAGAAAAAAAAGCAATTACCTCAACTTGGCCCCATGTTCTAATCGATTCTGTATGGATCTTAAGGTCTTCATCATCCGCATGGTCTTCCTCAGCGACATCTCCGCTTTCTGCACCCATATCTTTGATCTTCAGCCCTTCCAACCTGAAAATTCACGCGTAATCAGAGTGAAGAAATAACACAAGTCCTAAAATTCAATGAAAAAAAATCACTCGCTAGGCATGTTCATTATTTGATTGAAGATCATCTCAAAATTCTCTGTTACTGAATAAAAAACCCCTGTTCGAACTCACAGTTTTACAAAGAAAAGCAACATAAATAGGAAGCACTGAATGCTTACCGTCCTTGGTTGGTGTCAGTGTAGTCGATCCATTCACTTTCTTCACCACTAGTTTGTCCAGGTACATTACTGTTACCACGTGCACGCACTTGGTACTCACCTTCATCGGCATTGCGCATATCATTTTCCAATTGTAACTGATCATTTTCCTCCTAAATGGTATGGATTCGAAACAAACAGAAATAATTTGGAACGGATGCATCGAATGTGTGATTCAAGAGATTCACTAAATCTGTTAAAAAACACAAGCACCGTTTCACATCACCATAGGATATACGGAAAACGTAAATAAGCCCCAGAGGAAAAAGAAGGTCGAAGGAAGAACCTAGAGGATCCTACGTCGAGAGTCCCTATACGTGACCCATACTTAAACATTACCATTGATGGGCTCTCATCTTTGATTTCCTTTCCCTCCCATTCTGTTATTATAACTATCCCAATGCAACTCAATCTCACGCGGAATGCGCTAGCCGATAACTTCTCTGCGACTACTCACTGAACATCTCAGGCAGCAAAAACAAAACCTTCATCCAGTTAAAAAAAAAGATGCAGCTAGCATACCTGTCTTTTTACTTTGAGCTCAAGAATATGTCCCACATCTTCCATCTTAACGACATTCTTCTTTTTCTTGTCTTTCTTCTTCGCGAAAAACGCGCTCAGATCGTCCGACATTCCTACGCCGTTCTGCTGCTACCTGTTTGTTTCACAACGGCGTTACGTTTTGCGTGCGAGATACTTTCACAGTATCAAGACGATATCTGAAATAAATCCATTCGGAATGTGTAAAACGGGTCACGAGGTGGACAAAACAGATCTGACCACATGTCAAATATACGTCTGAAACATTTCTCCTTAACCTCCTTTTTTTAAACAATGCATCATCTTCTCCAACCCACTCTGTAATCAGTTGCCTTCAACCACTCCCACTTCCACGAATACAAGCGTGTACCGCATCAAACGACGAGCAAGACTGCAGTGTTAGGCGCGTCGCCGAAAAATGGTTTTCACGTGAACGATTCGTGTTTCTCAGAAATTTCGTCCTCCCTCGCAACTACCGCAGCGCCGGGGGATCAGGAGGATCAGAAAAACGTGTCGTGCCTAGGCTTGAAAGAACCAACTACTCGATGAAAGCGACTTTACCGAGATTTGAAACGCGAAATGGAAGCCGTTCGACGGACTACTTGAACTCAGCCCTTTACCGCCTCTGCGCTCTCTAGCGGGTCCCTCTCCTCTCCAAGGCTTAGTCCTAGGGCATTCTCTAATCGTCTGTGCTCTAGCCATCGCGGCAGGACCATTGAGGAAAAATCAAGTAGTCCGTAAACCAGACTTTACGGCATCAGAAATGTGGAGCACAAAGACAGGAAATGAAGATCGGCGCTCAACAAGCGAAAGGGAGAATAAAAATTGCATACGACTCCTCAGAATCCCTTCCCCTTTCTGAGGCTTAGTCCCAAGTCATGTAAGTGACTAACTCGGCGCTCATGTTCCTGGTGGAACACAGAGGCCGACGGTAGGTGATCCTAAGCCCAGGATAGGGGAGAGACGCTAGGGAGAACACAGTCTGCTCACATACTCCCCAGATTCGCATCTTCTTGTCCCAAGTGCTGTAAATGACACACTTGAATGCCCCCATGTCCCCCCCCTCTTCCAACGAAATAAGATAAACGCATGAATACCCCCCCCCCCCCGACATGAGCGCTGCTTTCTCACTTGAAAGACTCCCCTCTCCCGCACGCCAACACACAACAACATGAGCGCCAAGATAATTTCTAAACACGGATGCCTTTAATGATAACAGAAGTCCGGCACAAAAAATACTTCGATAATGATTTCAATGCAGCAGTACGCCAACTGCCGCATATTGCAGTTTCACTAGGCAAATAGGATATAATGATAAATCCAATATTTCAACGACAAAGAGCCATAAAAAGCCCACCACAGCAGTACAGAACCCACCTCGTTCGCCTACAGCCCAACCGCACAGAATGGATACTACCGATACGGACGGACAAAATGTATGAGAATGAACCCACTTCTGTTGGACTGTTGTTTGCAAAACATGATAACTATGATAAAGCGGAATGAGAAACATGCTTGCTGACAAGACAAAACTAGAGAACTGGTAGAAACCGATTTACTTCTATCATAATAGGTACACATCAAACATGAAAGCTATGTCGGCATGCTGATCACATCGAAAGAACGACGTAAATGATGCACAAACACACGGATTCCATCAGTATCGCTTCACAATGTAAATCGTTGCTATGACGTATCCACCCCGATAGGTGATACTGAGCTAGTTAAACTTGCCATTACGAGGTCACCGTTCCCTAGTGCACCTGCCAAAACCGAAGGCTGCGAAATTCAAAAAAGCTGACGGAAAAATTCCTAGCCAACAAAGACTGATGAGTCTAGGCCGCATTCTCTACACTAATCAAATAGCCGGTCGACAATACACCTGTTGGATGTCGGACATCACTACCATTTTTCAAAACAGCCCAAATAAAAGGTTGACGTGACAATCACAACCTACGTAGTTGGAAAAAAGCAGGCGAATATTCCATCAAAATTTTATTATCTTGACGGTAGGCAATTGACTGACCAGCCTCACTCGACTATCACATTCATGAGAAAATAACGCCCTGATGCTCCACTGTGACGATCCTAACGCTCTCATCTAACATGAGCAGAGGAATATACCGAAGCAACAATTAAGCCTCGCTCTCCAACGATACCATCACAAGAGCCTCAACGAACCCCACTGGACGGATACAAGTGTTACTTGTGTAACTAGTAATCTAAAGAAAGGAGTCTGGTCCAACGACTATTAGTGTTCTTATGGAGCACAGAAATATGAACAAAAAATGCGGACTTATTCCTTGGTTTCAAGAAAAATATGGGGAATACTGTAAGCGACAAAATTTACATAGTTACTGAAACATGTGGAACCTAATACTAATTCGGCAGTTACCTCCAGCGGTGAATCTTTAAAACTGCAAATACAACAGTAGCTTCCATCAGATTAATACAGGGGAGCCAACACTTTTTACAGAGCTTTCACCGTTACATTTAAAACATAAAAATTTGTTAACTTCAATCATAAAGGCCATGTAATTCTTAGAGCTAATGGTGTGAACAAGAAACGAGCCAATCAAGCTCATGCGAACAATACACAAAAATATGCGGACACTGGTTTGCGAGAACGTCGCACAGCGTTATTCCGCAATCGATTTCGGCCGCGATAAGGGGCTAATCATGGCGCCAAATTCATTACGCTTTTGCATCGATGTCTTGCACAATAGATTTGTCTTTCGCGTAATACCACGATGTACACCAAAAAAAGTAAAGAAGGAAGTAAGTGCAGCCAAATTCCACAGAATATCAAAACCTCTCCATGCCGACAACAGTCCACGTGCGCGACACCTGTCTTTGAATAAACAAACGAAAACTTTACACAGTTCTGTTCGGGGAACAAACAAATTTTCCGATGGGATATCAGCATACCTCCAAATTCTTTCAAGACAATTGTATTTCGTAATGCAACGAAAAGAGTAAGTGCCAGAAAGACGTGAGAATTCTGTCAGTGACTCACGAATTAGGTATAGGATGAGTCATAAGTTTAGTGTTTGGCTAGCACTGGTCCGTGTTAAGTAAGGTATTTTTGCTGCACCGTTTATTATCGGTCGTAAAGAAAAGTGGGTGACATTGGGAAAGGAGTTCTACCTACCAGGAGACGATAAAGTCGCAAAGAATAAGGCCACTGCACTTATGATTTTCCAACCGGTTACATGTGGAACTCGAACAACGAACCAGATCAAAGAGCGAGCAACGCCAGCTAAACAACGAAACAACGAGAGGAAATAGCGGAGATAATGGGCAAAAAGGGATGGTAGCAATGCTGACGTATCATAGCTCGGAACCTGCTGACGCCGTCTCCACGGAGCAGGCTTCCAGCGAGCAGTATGATAAGAGCAAGACATTGTGCTGATATGGGGGTGGTGTGCGGTTCAGGCGCCCATTGCCAGACAATTGCGTACCGGCGTAAGCAACGTACCGAGGTTGGCGGAGATTCGAAGCGCAATCTCCATTCGTTACACTTGCTGGTGAGTCTGAACTTCTAGTAGCATGGTTACGCATCACGACGGCGACTAACGATACGTGGCGCCGTTTTAACTCCTCACGGTTAAATAAACAAATAGAAAAGGCGCAATGTGCCTTCGGCGGGGACTGGGCAGCGGGGGGGTGGGGGGGGGGCCAGAACTAAGCCTGACGCAGATGGACGAATTCCGGAGTGAATGGAAATTGCTCACGCAGCTCGGATTACCTATCCTCCTTCGTAGCTTAGCTCTAAAACTAAGCAAATCCTTGAATCTGTCGCCAAGTTTCCGGCTGGCCCCCCTGAAGCACAGTGCACCTTGCTGAGCAACGGGACCTCTCTCTCAATGTTCAGAAGCTACCCTGTCACAACACAATTCAATGAGATTGAAGCAACCCCCACGTCACCGCTGGCTTTCATGCCAATAGATCATGAATTAACTTCATTAAAAGTTTGAAAAGACGTAGTCATACCTTCGGAGGCACTTGTTGAAGAAAAAAAGGCGACGACGACACTTGTACAACTTCCGTGGGGCCACTTCGCATGCCGGGTTCACGTCGAATGCGTGGTTGACAGCCGAGTCGAGTCCGGCTGCTGATTCATCAATCTGCGCGGGACCGAGGAGCGCGTCCAGAGCGGTTTCCTTTAATAAGAAGGTTTTCAAAAATGAATTCGGTGCTTGGGTCATGGTAAATGTTACCACTCAACTTATTTTCGCTGTAACAGGTGCACCACAAAATGGTAGTTCTCTGCACTTACGGTAAGTATCGAAATGAACTCGAATATTAGCGCTGTGGTGGATTTGGCGGTACTGTGGTTTGTATTCACACTGCGAAAACTGTCAGGACGGGTTCTGCGACTGGCCTATTTTGTTGCGGGACAGTCTGTCGTCCCTTTAGGCCTGGTGTCAGAGTCCGCGATCCGTCGCAGGTTTCGCTGATTTTCGCGATTTGCGCGAAACCTGCGACGGATCGCAAAAATTGCAAGTGCCCCATTTGAACATTTGAAACACTGAATATGAAACAAGTGGAATCATGAGCAGTCGTCATTCAGCCATCACTATCAAGCAGAAGTGGCGGCAGGATTGGAGAACACCTTGCAGTATTGATCGGGCACTTGTGATTTCCGTGACCCGTCGCGTGAATCGCGTGAATCGCGCGAATCGCGCAAATCGCGAAAATCAGCGAAACCTGCGACGGATCGCGGACTCTGACACCAGCCAAACAAATTGGCGAGAGCGCGCGCTTGCGCTTTCTTGGCCACGTGGGACAGCTGTGGGTGTGGTTCACGGTGCTTTACTTAGTCGGGGGGGGGGGACCACGGGAAATCCGTGAGCCAGGGGACTGTAGGCAGTCTAGGGGGTGGGGGCAGTCACTTGACATGCGTGAAAAGCTGGAATGTTCGAGTTTACACTATCTCGCTCGAGAGAGCGCCAGGCGAGCAAAGCGCCGCGCCGCCGCGTGGTCCTCCCCCAACAATGTGGTTCGCTAGCACAGAAAGCGACTTTTTCCGCTTTACGCAACGCGAAACATTTTTCGCTTGTCCGTCCGATTGCGCAATCGCTTGCAAAGTG